TATTTATATCATTAATAAAGTAAAAAAAATAAATATTAAAAGAAGATCAATATTTCTTCAATTTTTAAATGCATTGAAAGTAAGATTCTTGAAGTAAACTTAATATGACTTAATATATCCTATTTTTTGAATAAAATAAATCATTATAGAATGCAAAAAGATTATGTATATGGAAGATTAGAAATCTCCAACATCATTATCTAATACTTCACTGCCGCTGCTATGAACATTTATTGTTATTGTATATTTAGTCCAGTTACTAATAGTATATAAAAATTTGAACTTAAATCTGTTAAAATAAAGACTTATTCTGGTCAACATCATAAAGTTTTGCAACATTAGATACACTGGATGTTAAGGAACTCATGGCATAATGTAAATGGGGTAATTTTACATAAATAAATACCACGAAAATGTAAACTATAAGGTTTTCATACATAACTTTGTTATCGAGAAAAATATATTCGCGAACACTGAGTGTCCAGCTAATCAGGAAGTCATGAATATACGCGTCAGCCAATTTCTATTCAATACTATGTGTATTCATCGAAATTTCAAATTCATTTTTTCGAAAATGAAGATTTAAATAAAAAATTGTATACTATCTATACTTTCGAGATATTTTTTCATATAGAATCTTTTCTCTCTCTCTCTCTCTCTGTAATCATATTACAACTTATAATTAGTACCACACATAAATTTTGGATTTATGTTACATTATCTTATTTCATGTATCATACTTACAACACCGATTTTAAGGAGCTTTTAGTATGATATAGAAGTGTGAAGTTTCATTGCTTTTAAGAATTGGCTTATTTTCGAGTTCTTTCTTGCTGGTAATCCCATTTTTAATTTCATATAGGTACTTCATTTACTCTCCAGGATTTGTAACTTTTGTGACTTCATTTTTCTCAGTTGCAAAATGCTTTTAGTTTCATCAGTGTTTCTAATTTTGTAACTACCTAAGTAAATACAACAAACCACTCATAAATTTTTGTGCAATGAACACGAATCGCTATCACGTTATTTTGAAAAACAAATTTAAGTGTTTAATGTTATAAAAAATACAGCTTTGTAAATTCCACTTTTATTTAAAAATTAAACCTGTTAAAAACTCAGAGTGGTAGAGAAAAATGACAGCCGAATTCGTGTTCAGCACATGAAAATATATAAGATAGCCCACTAATAATAGAAATGCAAGAAAGAGATTGTAATTTATGAACAGTGTCATATATAACACAATTTTTTCCATTCTTTTATAGATTACCTTATAGGGATGATTTTGATAAATTGTTCAGGACATTTTTAATATGCCCAAAACCACACATACAAAACTTGACTCTGGCAACACATCATAATAAGTTGGCTTAGCTACATATTTACTTAATACCTTCAGATCAAGAACATCTTTGTCTTTAGATGAATCTGTTGCATTGATATGAATATTTTTACATTTTGCATTTAGTTAAGTTATGATTAAGTTTCTGTCTGCTTTTGTTTTGTAGCAGCAAGCCTGCATTGTCAATTTTCGATTAGAAATTGTTCTGTATCGAACAACGTTTTTCTTTTTCTAAGAGAAAATCTCTCTTTTTCTGAGGTTTTCTAAGGATTTATCACCGTTTGTAGTACTCAAATATATCCTAATCTTTTCAACACGTCGGAATTGATCACAGAACCATAGTGTTTATACAAATAAATTGAATGTGAAATTTATATTGCACACATTCTCTTTCGTTACTTTTATCCACTTCAATTGACAACTAGTAAACTGATTCGAAGTTTGTCACAGGGATGCCTTTTGAGCCACTTCGGCTATTATGGTAAAGCTGGTCACGTTAGAATGTGTTTTCGTTAATATAATCTATGTATAGATCTTCTAAAATATTCCTCAACTACTATGTGTGCCATGTGACTCAATCTGGAGCGATGTTAACGTCTTCTGCCAGAATCACCAAGCACACAAAGCTGTCAAAGCAGCTACAGCTTATATGGTTGATTTAGTTTAGAAAATCCATGGACAATCCATCACGAGAGGAAAAGTGAGCATGCCCGCCGTACTCGTAGAACACTAGGATTTGGTCTAAAACAGTATTCTCTGCCACTACTAGAATAATACTTGCCATATAGCTTCGATCGACACATACCCCAGTAGATATAATGTAATTTGCTATCAGATCCGTGATCCAACTCCGAACATCGTTGGTATAATCGCAAATGTTGCGCTTGCTGCATCACGATCTTCCAAGCTTTTTTAGCACTCACAATGCTGTGAACTCAATGTACATACCATGTCAAGATTATATCTTCATCATACACAATTTCTATTATGAATGATCCCCAAAATCTCCAAGCTAGAGGGTTCTGCTTTTAGCAATTTCTATTTTCGTTACTGTTTTTACTCGTAGTTTCTTTCTTAATGTATACTTACTTCTCAAATCAATCACAGTCTTTAATTAGTTTTCTTTTCAATGCCAGTTTTATATTCTTCTTTACCTAACGTGCTCTACTAGAGAAGAAACTTCCTTTATTGAACATCTTGAGGGCCTAACTCAACTATTTTGTTTGATCAAGGTTTCAAGCCATTTACAAAAATATTGCAAAATTTTATTGAGGATACTAGTCATTATCATTTGTTTGAAATAAAGAAAAAAGAAGAG